CCCATATCCAAATGCATATAATTGCAAATACTCTTTTACTAAATGCAGACGAATTAATAACTTGTCTAGAAAAATTTCTCTGACATTTTCATGTCAGAGAATGCAAATAGAACCAAGAGGAATAAAAAGATAAATGACTGAAAAGATGTTTTTCTTTCTAAAGAGTCTCTAAATATTTGTGCACATGCCCAATTTTCTTACGCCTTTTTCTCTATTTTAGCAAGACTACAGCAAGGTTTTCCTCTTCCCAACCCTTACAATATCTCGTTCATCAATTCAGATATTGAAGTTCTCGAGGTAAGATTTTTAAGTTTCCTTATAACTGGCTCATTTCTTTTTGAAAGACTTTTTCTTTCTCTTGTGCTTTGTCTTTTTTTTTTTTTTTGTCAGTCGTGGGCCTGAACTCTGGGCCTGCGTGCTGTCCCTCAGTTCTTCAGCTCAAGGCTAGTGTTCAACCACTTGAGCCACAAGGCCACTTCTGGCTTTTTCTGTTTGTGTGGTGCTGAGGAATCGAACCCAGGGCCTCATGCATGCAAGGCAAGCACGCTACCACTGAGCTACCTTCCCAGCCCTTTCTTTTCCCAGCCCAGGGAATTTTATAAACAAATTATGTATAGCTCTCAAAGATTACATTTAACAATGAAAAGAGGAAAAGTCAGGCCAAGTCTAATTTCATTTAGCAGCCAAATTGCTCTGGTGGCGAGAAACTTTTTCAAGAAAATAATCTTTAATGTGCTTTATTTGTTCCACAAGACAAGCCCATAAGAGTGGAATTTTGAATCCCATTTTATAGATGAGGGAAATAAGACACTGAGGGGTAAAGTGGCTTAAGTAACTGACAAAGAAACCAGCTGGGATCAGGCTGGCTCTGTTTGTTGAGTTCTCTGTCAGGGGACTTTCCCCCACAAAAAAACTGACTCTCCTCTGGAATCAGGGATCCACTGAAAACTGTATCCTAGCTAATCATTGTTAACACACTTAATAATGCCTTTCCCTTCTTCTCTTTCAGTATTGTTTTGTCTGGGGAGATATAAATAAGTTTCAAAAAGCATTTCAATCAAGCCCTGGTGGCTCTCATCTGTAATCCTAGATACTCAAGAGGCTGAGATTTGAAATGCCAGTTTGAAGCTAGCCTGGGCAGGAAATTCTGTGAGACTTGTATCCCCAATTAACCAGCAAAAAACTGGATGTGAAGGTTTGACTCAAGTGGTTGAGAGCCCACCTTGATTGAAAAAGTTAAGGGACAGTAGCCAGGCCCTAAGTTCAAGCTCTAGTACTAGCACAAAGAAAAAAAACCATCTTCCATCTATATGATACGCCTTACGTCCTCTCACACCCCTGCCTCTTTCTACTTGGGCCCCTAAATTACACCTGGTGATATAATTCAAAATGGTCTCTTCCTACAGCTAGGCCCTCACAAGCAGGGGAGGGGGGAGTTGGGGAAAGCTTGCTGCTTTAGGGTTTGATGAAGAAGAACCCCACCCTCCCCCACCCCCCAGTCCTCAGGCAAACCCAGACATGCTCCTCATTGAATGTTATCTCTCCTCATCATTGAATCTTTTGCAGGATTTCCTTTTGATTTCCACCGACCTGAGACATGAAACATTCTCAAAGCAACAGCCAAGTTTCCATAACTGGGGAGGTTTGAACCTCATAAATGGACCCTGGAGGGAGACGCCAACCCCTTGATTGCCTGCTCACAAATAAACAGATTGTAGAGAGAGGGAGAGGCTCAGGCCCTGGATCGCCAGTTTTTAATCCATCTCAGGGAGTAAATAAATGGTCCTTCATCCCACAGCAGTGACTATGGGAAGAAGACTGTGCACACTGGAATCTTTAAGCCCTAGTGAATTGCTTAGACAGGAAGCTTTCTTTCAATGGTCATAAGAGGCCTAGAGTGAGGCAGACCACGGGGTTAAAGGGCTGAATAGGGGAATAGGTAGAAAATGGAGTGAATGTGAAGGGGAGGGGGGAGGGCAGGGAGTATGCATATGCTGAGTGCCTGTGTTTTTCAGATTCTGGGATACAAGGAAGGTGTGTATTTCTGACCGGGGGAGTAAAAACTTTTTTAAGTCTCTCTTTGTGTGGGTCATTTTCTGTAGTGAGAGCCCTGCAACTCTCTAAGGGCATTTCCCCTGCCTGTGTATTGGATTGTATGTTTTATATTCACTGTTACTGTCCCACGTTTCATTAAAATTGTTTTCTATCAACGGCAGCCGTTTTTTCCAGAGATTTCCTGTCCTGAATTGATCTTAACAAAACAGGATAAAGAAAAGAAAATTTTACCTCTTTAACCTTTATGAACAGGAAAGTGGCACTGATATCAAGGATTGATCTAAAAGGGAAATTCCGGGCCTTAGAGGCGTGGCTCAAGTGGTAAAGTGCTAGCCAAGAAAGCTTGAGGCCCTGAGTTTAAACCCTGCTACTGGCAAATATAAACAAACAAACAAACAAAATTAATTAAAAGGGAATCTCAGGACTCTTAAATCTTTCCTGCAGTGCTGGGGGTTATGATTCAGGGGATACAGCATCTGAGCACCAAACTCTGGATTCAATCCCCCTAATACCATGAGAGAGAGAGAGAAAGAGACAGAGGCAGAGACAGAGAGAGTGTGCTTTCCTGCAGCCACTCTGTATCATTTGTTTAGGTTTTAGGATATGTTTCCCGGTGGATTCAATGAATTAGCAATGCAGAGTTCTAAACCTAGGCCATTTGTAGTTGAGAATCATATTAATATCAATTAATATTAAACAATGGTGTGAAAGTGGGGCAGAGTAGGAAATTTTGTGTTGATGTATAGGGAATGAAGAGAAATCATCCCCTGAGCTCCTCTATTTCCAGGCTAGTGGAATTTACAGAGTGCTTATCCTGGGCCAAACCCTAGGCTAGTTACTCCTCCACAGTCACTGTATTTCACCTCCACAACTCTGTGAAGAATGAGCCCATTTCACAGATGACACAGAGGTTATGAGGGACTCATTATACAGAACTAGTAAATGGTGCTGGCATAGACTGAATCCAAGCATTTCTGATTGGTAGGTAGGTAACTGAAACAAGCATAAAGTAGGCACTAGAAACAGATTGCCTAAAATTCATCACAACAAACAAGAGATCATAGTGCAATAAGGAGCCTGGGTCTAAGTAACATGGACTTGTTCTCACAGCCATCCTTGTGCCTTGCTGAGTGGAGAGGGCTTTCCACCCACCTCTGAAAAGCCTAGAGGTGAGAGAGGCCATTCATTGAATGCTCATCCTTGGTTATCTCCCTAAATAGTTTGATTCACTTGCCTCTAAGTATCTCCCTGTATGGAAAATTTGAGGCTTACACCCCCTGCCAGACACACACACACAAACACACACACCACACACACACCACACACACACACACACACACACACACACACACACACACACACACACACACACACACACACACACACACACACACACACACACACACACACACTATGGAAAGTTTAAGCTGGCCCCAGAGCTACTTCCCTAGATGGAAAGTTCTGCCAGTACTTGGGCATTTTCCTACGTAGTCTGTTTCTGTTGGATTTAGATTTCCACCCCAAACATGTGATTTTTGTTTTTAAAGGCTTTGTGCAAGCTCAGTACTAGGCTGCAGATCTTTGAGACAGGAGTTCACCTGCAGTCGCCAGCTCTCCCATAAAGACTCCCAATTCAGCCTCTCAAAATGTGGCTGATTGAGTTCCTGTACAACAATAGGCAGAGCACAGTAGCTAAGGCCTACAATCTTAGCTACTTGGGAGGCAGAGATGAGAGAATAGAAGCTGGACTGTATCTATACAATGGCGGTGGGTAACAACTTGCATAAAGCAAGACCCCACCTTGAAAATAATTGATATATAACCCCTCTGTACAGTTTTTTCACAATAAAAAAAAGAAAAAAAAAAGAAACTAGTTGATATAAAAAGGGGCTGAACGTGGTAGAGCATCTGCCTAGCAAACTCTATGCCTTGAATTCAAAGATCATCCTCCTATTAGTTAAAAAAATAAAAAAGGCATGATCATTGAGCCCTCAAGGCTGGACCAGAAGTCCCCAGTGATCTAAAAGACTGTGGTTTACTCATCTTTGCAGTTCACTTCTGTCCATAATAGGTGCCCTCCTCCAAGTATTTCTAGGAATAAATAATATTATTGTGTTTTATTATTCTTTGGGACATTTTTCTAACAGAAGAGACACTTGATATATATTTACTGAATCATTCTGAAACATTTCATGTGTGGTAATGATTTAAAAAAATATTTTTCAGTTGCAAGTATATACTTCTCCCTTCACTGCTGGGAATGTAAGCTCCAAATTGTGTATTCTCTAGAGTGGTTGGACTTGACCTAGATTCCAGGTGTTTTCTTGAGCTGATAAAAACATTTCCAAAAAGAAAGCTAATAGATTGTACTAAACCCTACTGAAGCATTGGGGGCACACCTGTAATCCAACACTGGAGAGATGGAGGCAGGAAGGTGGAAAGTTTGAGATTAGACTGAGCTTCACAGTGAGACCCTGTCTTGGAAAAAATAAAATTCCTGCGTGTCACCTGGAAATCTGTAATCCTAGCTACCCTAGTGCTTGAGATCTGAGGATCAAGGTTCAAGTCCAGCCCAGGCAGGAGTCTGTAAGACTCTTAGCTCTAATTGACTACTAAAAAGTTGGAGGTGGAGCTGTGGCTCAAATGGTAAAGCACTAGTCTTGAGGGAGAAAGAGAAAAAAACGCTTAGGGACAGAGCCCAGATTCTGAATTGATGCCCCAGGGCCATCACTAAATGGTAAATAATAACAAACAAGCTCCATACCGTCGTACAAAACAACACGACGTGACTACAGGATTTAGCCTAGCAGAGATAAACGAACGAAGAGCCAGGGAAAGCGAACGCTAGAGGACAGTCTAACCAGAGAAAAGCGATCGTCTTGACGCGGGGCCTCTTGAGCCTCGGCGGTCGCCGTAGCGCGCCCGGCCAGGGTGCGCACTGCGCCTGCGTCTGAGGGCTCCACGCGTCCGAGCCGGCTGCAGCTTTCTCCTCGTAGCGTCCCAGCGGTTCCCGCCACACTTATCGCCAGCCATGAGTCGCAGCTACAACGATGAGCTGCAGTTCCTGGACAAGATCAATAAAAACTGCTGGAGGATCAAGAAGGGCTTCGTGCCCAACATGCAGGTGAGGATGGGGGAAGCGGACGACTGGCGGAGGGGCCTCGCGGCGCGGGGCGGGGCGGGGCGGGGCGGGGCCTCGCGGCGCGGGGCGGGGCGGGGCGGGGCGGGGCCTCGCGGGGCGGGGCGGGGTCTCGCGGCGCGGGGCGGGGCTTCCGGGCCTGGTCGCCCTCGGGTCCCGTGCGGCCCCACCCATCCCCCGCCCTGTCCCGTCCCCTCCCGCTGGGTTCTGCCGCCCTCCATCCCCAGGAGAGGGAGGCGGCGGTCCGCACTTACCCCGCAGCCCGGCGGCCCCGCAGCCCCGCACCTGCTGCCACCCGAACTCCGCTCCTCTTTGAGCCTCCGTGGGTTTTGATCATGTGCCAGACGTTGTGATGCTTGCAGACCGGTGTTCACCCCAAACCGTCACTTTCTTTTTTTTTACGTGCCGTTCTTAGAGGCTGAACTCTGGGCTTGGGCGTTGTCCCCGAGCTTGGCGTTTTATTCCTTAATTGGACCTAAGACTCTCACGGACTGAACCTGCCCGATCTGGCTTTGAACCGGAATCTCAGATCTCAGCCTCCTCAGTGTCATGGATTTACCGGCGTCAGCCGCTGGCGCCCGGCTCCAACGGGTTTAGTTTCATTCCTTGTTTTTGTCGGTCCTGGGGCTTGAAAACAGTGCCGAAGGGCTATTCCTAGCTCTTTGGCTCAAGGCTATGTTAGTGCTCTACCACTTTGAGCCACAGCTCCGTTCCGAAACTTTTTAATAACAGGCCACAGTGTGTATGTGTATGTGTACACACCTGGGTGTGCCAGCTAGTACTGTGGATTGAACTCAAAGTCTGTGGTGGGTGCTGCTTGGCTCAAGGCTTGCTCAAAGCTCCTTTGCTCAAGGCTTGAGCCACAACTCCAATTCTGGCTTTTTGCTGATTAACATGGACTCTTCTGCCTAGGCCAGCTATAAATCTCAGATATCAACCTGGAGTAGCTAGGATTTCAGGTGTGAGCCTCTGGTGCCCACCTTGGTTTCTTGGAGAAAGGACTCTTAGGATCATTGGGCCACACAGATTTCCATACAACCTAGGAAGATGCTGGGCCAGGCCTTTGTGTCCACGTCAGTTCTCTGCTGTGATGATACAAATGCATCATCTTTGAAGGCCAAGACCACTGACTGAAAGCCTGAGCTTACTATCTCAGGCTTATCCTTTGTGTTCAAGCCTTCCCTATGAAGTTTAGGTGCCACTGTGTGTTAAGTAGCTCTTGAGATGACTTAAGATGCCCTGCAAGTTCACTGAAGGTTTGCAGTCCTGTGTCTCTGTATGAAAGAAAAAAAAAGTTCCCAATAACATCAAGGACCAGCAAGGCTTAAGTCTCCTTTTTTTTTTTAAAGGGAATTGGGCTCGAGTGGCCCATGCTTATAATCCTAGCTACTCAGGAGGCTGAGATTGGAGGATGATGGGTTGAAGTCTGCCTGAGAAGACAAAGCCAAGAGACTTTTTTTTCTAACCAACAAAAAGCTAAAAGTGGAGGTATGGTTTAAATGGTAGAGCACCAGCCTAAGCAAAAAAGCAAGAGGCCTGAGTTCAAGCCTCAGTACCAGCAAATAAGGAATGAGGGAAGGAGAAGGGAAAGAAAGACGGAAGGAAAAAGAGAAGTACCTGATGAGCTATTCTTTTCTTTGCTCAATATTCAATGTCCCCTATCAGCATATCACTTTGCTCATCACAGGGGAGAGCAAAGGCTCACAGTGATGAAGCAGTGCTTTCTCATTTCCCTTTGGTTTTGTAGCAGTGTGGTTTATTCATTTGCTTATTATTTCTTATTGATAAATAAATAGTGCATCTTAACATGCATGTTGTTCAAGCAGGGCACACATCTTCAAACAACAGTTTGTGAACATTGCAAAATACAAGTCTCCTTTTTCAGAAATGCTTGGGACTAGAAATGCTTGAGATTTCTGAGTTTTTCTGATTCTGAAATATTTGCATAGATATTACTGGTCAAGCATTTCTCATCCAGCCCCTGCTCCAAAACCATCTTTCAGTCTTTGTCAGGAAGTTTTCTTCTTGCTGAAGGTAATCTAAAAGTTTGATACCAAGTAAAGCAACAACACAAAGTATTGCATACAGTGTATTCTGTCCCTGGCACCTGTATTTTATGATCACATGCCCAGATGTCTATCCTTTTCTTTGGTACCAGGTTGAAGGAGTTTTCTATGTGAATGATGCACTGGAGAAATTGATGTTCGAGGAGCTACGGAATGCCTGTCGGGGCGGTGGTGAGTACATTAGAGCTGCACTTGGACTGCTGCAAGTCCTCACCCCTCCCCCTTGTGGCCTGACTAAATAGTATCTTGAATAATTGCAGTTTTAAAATGTTGTCATAGAATGATCAAGACTTGAAGTGAAGCCAGGTACCGGTAGCTCACACCTGTAATCCTAGCTACTCAGGAGGCTGAGATCAGAGGATCACGGTTCAAAGCCAGCCCAGGCAGGAAAATTCCGTCAGACTCTTATCTCCAGTAAATCACCAGAAAACTGGAAGTGGCTTTGTGGCTCAAGGGGTAGAGCTCTCGCCTTAGGCTGAAGTGCTCAGGAATAGTGCCTAGGCTCAGAGTTCAAGTCCCACAACCAACAACAAAAAAGACTTGAAGTGAACCAAAGCACTTAACAACTTGGTCTTATAGAAGGCAGCAGGGTTGGACTGGGCCCCAACTTCCCCCAACTCTGAATTTTTCAGTTTCTCTCTTTCCATTGCCCTTCTTCGTTGATTTTTTTTTTTTTTTTTTTTTTTTGTCGGTCGTGGGGCTTTAACTCTAGTCTTGGGTGCTGACCCTGAGCTCTTCAGCTCAGGGCGAGAACCCTGCCACTTGACCCACAGCGCTACTTCTGGTTTTTTGTTTTTTTTTTTTTTGCTCCGGTCGTGGGGCCTGAACTCTGGGCCTGGGTGCTGTCCCTCAGCTCTTCAGCTCAAGGCTAGAGCTCTACCACTTGAGCCACAGCGCCACTTCCGGCTTTTATCTTTTTGCTTATGTGGTGCTGAGGAATCGAACCCAGGGCCTCATGCATGCAAGGCAAGCACTCTACCACTGAGCCACCTCCCCAGCCCCTACTTCTGGTTTTTGAGTGGTTTATTGGAGACAAGATTCTCACAGACTTTCCTGCCAGGGCTGGCTTTAAACCGCGATTCTCAGATCTTAGCCTCCTGAGTAGCTACGATTATAGGCGTGAGCCACCGGCACCCAGGTTGTTGATTTCTTTTTCTATTAAAAGAATACATTTTCATGCTGACAACCTAAAGGTTAATAGTTCGGCTTTATATTTATGGAATAATATTTGCAAGCAAACTTCTCATGGTATGTACAAAACACTGGCAGCATGTTTTGGTATTTAGTCTAGTTTCCTGTCATGTAACTTACCTTCTCACTTACTTTCTAACCATGTTTCTACACTTTGTTGGTTTAATAGCCCTAACTTACTTTCCCTTTGTGTATAGCAGTCTAGAAACATGAATATAATTAATGCTACAAATCAAATGTGCCCCTCTTTCTAAGACTGAGTTTTTGTCTTCAGGTATTGGTGGCTTCCTACCAGCCATGAAACAGATAGGCAATGTGGCAGCTCTTCCTGGGATTATTCACGTGAGTCACAGAACTTTTGTTGTGTATATTTGTTGCCTAAACTTTGGTGAAGAAATGGATGACTATACCTAACAGACAGTGGCCTTTGAACCCCTAGCAATAACCCTGAGACCTTAGCAATGATTAAATCTGGATGGCTTCTCCACTTCTGGTTGCTTTTGTAAGAATCTATAAGTACCAAAGAACTTTGAGGTGGTTTTTCTGGTTTCTACTAATCTGTCACAGTAACATCATGATTGCTTGACCCATGCACCACTTCTGTAAGCTTCAAGGCTGCTGTGTTCACAAATATAGTTGAAGAAGAAATGGAAAGAAAATAAGTTTAGGGATTAGGATTGTGTAGAGGGAGGAAGGACAACACAGGGCATGGTTGGACAAAGGAAGTTTGTTACTGAGATGGAATTGACAGTAAATGTGGGTCCTCACCAAGGAAATAGTCAGATTTAGAAGTAGATGTTGAAAATGGGCCTACTTGGCAAGACATTTTTATAGCTACTTTTACGCCCTGTTCATGTTCTGCTGAGTGCTTAACTGGAGGAATGAGGAGTGACCATAAATGCTTATTGTATTGGCCCACCTCCTTCTTGGGACAGAGTCCTTTTCTGGGAACAGTACTCATGTTACAAATCAGTTACTTTTGTCTGTGATTGTTTAGCTCTAAGCCATGTATTTACCTTTTCTTTTTTTTGTCGGTCGTGGGGCTTGAACTCTGGGCTTGGGCGCTATCCCTGCGCTCCTCAGCTCGAGGCAAGTGCTCTACCTACCTCTTGAGCCACAGCACCACTTCCGGTTTTCTAGTGGTTAATTGGAGATAAGAGTGTCACAGATTTTTCTGCCCAGGCTGGCTTTGAACCGTGATCCTCAGATATCAATCCCCTCAGTAGCTAGGATTACAGGCGTGAACCACCGGCACCCAGCTATTTGCCTCTTCTTTAACCTGGCATAACCATAGTTTGTCAATATAATAAAACAATCTTAAAAGTTAGTAGTCCCTTAAAGTTAGTATGTGGTCTCCTGAAAAATCTTTTTTTTGTTGTTGTTTTCTTTTTGGAGTTTCTGTTTTAAATTTCTTTGGTTAAAAGTTACCCTTCATGAATTTTTTTTTTTCTCAATTTCTACCAATTGGGAAGATGGGGGATAGTAATAACATTCTTAATCTTGGGAAAGCTTAGCTCACAGCCTATTTGAAAGTCATGCAGCCTGAGTACTAGAGAGTGAGAAAGGAATTCTTCACTCTGAGTTTCTCTTCCAGCGATCTATTGGTCTTCCTGATGTCCATTCGGGCTATGGGTTTGCCATTGGGAACATGGCAGCCTTCGACATGGATGACCCAGAAGCTGTGGTTTCCCCAGGTAAGGCCCTATGTGTATCTGCTGTTAGGCATGTTGCTTCTTTCTTTGTCTCTCCTTTTTACCATGTTCCATCAGTGCCAAACATCATTCAGACACTGACTTTATAGAAACATCTTGTGCCTTTACGACAGTTACCTCATAGTTCTAATAATGTTATTTATCACCTAGTATTATTATGAGGATTAAATGAGTTCAAAAATGGAAGTGGAGTTCATAAGTAGAAGAGAGCAAACACAAAGAACTCCTGTATGCCCACACTGGCTTATATGGAAATGTGGCTCAAGTGGTAGAATGCTAGTCTTGAGCATATGGACAGTGCCCAGGCTGAGTTCAAGCCACAAGGCTCACACACACACACACACACACACACAGCTTAGGTCTGATTGCTGATGGCTATGTTGCTGAAGAGCCTGTAGTAGGGAGTCCTGGGTCAGATCCTAGCCTCTCCTTTCCCTACCCTGGTTCTCTCCACAATCCTCACCCCATCCTTGAGGGGAGGGGGGAACAGCAGGCTAGATCCCAGAGCATCCTTTCCTGGTCTGGTTCATCTACAGCCCAGCCCCACCCCCAAGTGGGGGAAGAAAGTATCAGAGAACTCTCCTGCCACCCATGCCAGATACTTCCCAGCTCATCCTAGAGAAGCTGACTATGCAGATAAGCTGCTTGGCTGGCTGGCTGGCTGGGAGGAAGAACCTAAGGGATCTTGAAGGAATCTTTCCAAAATCACACCTAGAGCAAATCATGTCTGAATCTATATCCTGGTTCCCAAACTTCATGCTTAGAACCTACTTTTTAGAGAAAAAAAAAGGAAAGAAAATGCAGTCTTCAAACTAGATGCAGTGATACATTCCTGCAACTCAGGAGGCTGGAATGAGACCTCTGATCACTTAAGAGTTTGAGACTGGGGGGCTGGGAAGGTGGCTCAGTGGTAGAGCACTTGCCTTGCATGCATGAGGCCCTGGGTTCGATTCCTCAGCACCACATAAGCAAAAAGAAAAAAGCCGGAAATGGCACTGTGGCTCAAGTGGTAGAGCGCTAGCCTTGAGTTGAAGAGCTGAGGAACAGCGCCCAGGCCCAGAGTTCAGGCCCCAAGACCAGACCAAAAAAAAAAAAATAGTTTGAGACTGGCCTGGGGGACCTAATGAAATCCTGTCTCAAAATAAAATACTTAAATCTGAACATTTTTAATTACGGTTACTGCCATTCTTGAGTGCAATTATATACTGTACAAATTAGGAAAGAGGAAAAGCTGAAATATCTCATTAGAAGACAAAATTATATCCCCCAAAAGTAGAAAGATAGAAAGTTAAGAGCAAATAGTAATGAAATGAAAAGATGCATAACAGAAAGAACTAGCAAAGCCAAAAGTTAGTTACATCTGACAACTGAGCAAGAGGAACATTACTCATATTAACTGACATGTTATTCTTTGTTCATTACTACCCTGCTGGCCAGTAAGTACCTTTATTGTATGAGTTACTGTGGATTATTTCAGTGTCATCAGATTACATGAGCAGAGATTCTCTTTTATGTCTTATGACATAGTTGTTTTTTGAGACTGGCTCCTTGGATTGGAGATGGCTCAGGGTAGAGACCCTGCCTAGCAAGAACACGATGCTGAATTTAGAATCCCAGGACTGCCAAAAATAGAATGTGGCTGTATTTTTAACCCTGGTATTGCTGGTGAGAAACTTCAGGTAACAACTGACCACCTTGTTGTGCTAACACTTAACTGACTCCTCTGCATTTTGTAGGTGGTGTGGGGTTTGACATCAACTGTGGTGTCCGCTTGCTAAGAACCAATTTAGATGAAAGTGATGTCCAGCCTGTGAAGGAACAACTTGCCCAGGCTATGTTTGACCACATTCCTGTTGGGGTGGGATCAAAAGGAGTCATCCCGATGAATGCCAAGTAAGAGCAAATGGGAGCGGAAAACCCCATGGCCCTCACCTTCATTTCTCATGTAGGGACCTTAGAGATTGGGATTGCTCAGTCACTTTTCAGGAAGTACAAATGAGGTAGTTTTATAAATATGAGATCTAGGTGACAGTCAGAGTCTTCATTAGATCAGACCTTGAGCAGAGTGCAGTAGTGCCAATTAGTTGGGAGGCTGAGGCAGGAGGATCATTTTAGCCCAACGTTTCAAAGTCAGCCTAGGCAATATACTAAAATTCAAAGATGAAGCAATAGTGTATGTGCAATCCCTAGAGCTACAAAACAAAGCTGACTAAGCCAGAAAACAAAAGAAGAAAGAAAGGTCCTTGCCATAGAGTAGTATTAATGATAGAATTATCTGGGCTAATATTTAGCACTTCCTAAATGTAAGGCACCATGTACTGATGTCATTTAATTTAGACAATAGCCCCATTACCTCTGATTTACAAGAAAGAAAATTGGAGTTAAGAAAGGTTTTCTAAATAACTTGGTAAGTAATGTCAGAATTCAAAAGTTCTTTGAACTTAGTTTTCCACAACCTCCCTTTTGAATGATGACAGAGAAGTTGCACTTTAAATAGTAATTTAAACGCCACATTACAGTATGATTGCCTCTCAGAGGTATTGACTGTACTGTTGTACTTGTATGAAACAGTGCTTCTTAAATTCTGCAGAATACTTATGAAGAAATATTGTGGGCTGGGATGTAGCTCAGTGGCAAAGCACTTACCTAGCAAATGCAGTCTCCTGGGTTCAGTCCCCAATACCAAAAAGGAAAAGACAAAAAGCAGTTAACAAAACACAAATATTATAGCTATAATGTGTTACAAAACTCCCACCAAATTAGAAATAACATTTTCATAAAGATGTACTTAGAAGATGATTATTCTGATGATTTTTCTGATTTCACATGATCCTTGTCATACAGCTCCATTTTAAAGCATTTAAAGTATAAACGTAATTGTAAATATCAAGCATCTTGACAAATGCTTTAGATAGTCGTTTTATCCTAGGCTGTTAGTTGGGGTCAAGAGGAGGGGAATGATGAAAGCTATAGTCTCTCTGGTCATGCTTTGGAAGAGGGTGAACCATGGATAAAAATAAAGCCTTTCCACTCTAAGCATTTAATGTATTCCTCTAGGCCTCAAGTTATGGCTGCAGTGAAGCCACATTATACTTTGGTGAAGGTGTGAATAGACATTAAAATCGAACCTGTATTGCAAGCTTGTTGGTTCATGTATAATCCTAGCTACTCAGGAAGCTGCAACCTGAGGATCTCATTTATCTGCTCAAAGCCAGTCTAAGGGGACAAATGAGACTCTTATCTCCAGTTAACCAGCCAAAAACTGAAGTGGAACTGTGGTTCAAGTGATATCAAGAGCTATCCTTGGGGGAAAAAAAGCTAAGGGACAGTGCCCAGGCTCTGACTTGAAGCCCCAGTACTGGCACCACCAAAAAAAAGAAAAAAAAAAATCTGTATTGCCTAAAGAAGCTTAGATACCTTTACTATTTGTCTTTTTTTTTTTTTTTTGAAGGTTTTCTAGTAATAAGTAAATAATGATATCTGATCATTGATTTCTGTGGCTGTTTAATCATAGTCACATGGAATTCAGGATCAAAAGGAGATATAATATATTAAAAGATTCCAAAGTACAAGTTCACACCTATAATCCTAGCTATGAAGGAGTCTGAGATCTAAGGATCATAGTTCAAAGCCAGCCTGGGCAGAAAAGTCTGTGAGACTCTGATCTCCAATAAACCACTAGAAAACCGGAAGTGGCACTGTGGCTCAAGAGGTAGAGCACTCGCCTTGAGCTGAAGAGCACAGGGACAGTGCCCAGGCCCAGAGTTCAAGCCCCATGACCAACAAAAATTCCAAAGTACACTGAACTACATAAATGTCAAATAAAATCAGCATTTCAAATGTGACTTTCACCATTTATAGTGTTATTTATTTATTTGTTTACTTATTTATGGTGGGGAGATCTGACTACTGGGCACTGTCCCTGAGCTTTTGTGCTCAAAGCTAACACTACTTCTTGAACCACAGCTCCACTTCCTGATTTTTCAGTGGTTAATTGGAGAAAAGAGTCTTGAGAATTTTGCTGTCCAGGCTGGCTTTGATCCTCAGATCTCAGCCTCCTTAGTAGCTAGGATTATAGGTGTGACAGTACCCGGCAAATTACATGACTGCTTTCCTCAAAAAAACCTATGGAGTTTCTGTAACATATGCTAACTAGCACAAAGTGGTTCACAAGAGGTAGTAATTGTAGTGTGTTCATCTGCTCTTTGAGATGCGGTCTTTCTTAGGCTTTGTCACCATTGCTGTGAAATGACTAGCCCTTTCTATTGCTCACCCAGAGACCTGGAGGAGGCCTTAGAGATGGGTGTTGATTGGTCCCTAAGGGAAGGATATGCCTGGGCTGAAGACAAGGAGCACTGTGAAGAGTATGGAAGGATGTTGCAAGCTGACCCCAACAAGGTCTCCGCCAGGGCCAAGAAAAGAGGCCTTCCTCAGGTAACTCTCACCTTGCAGGGAATACATGCTAGCTCCCTATATTTAGGTCTTTTAATTAAGGAAAAGAAATCTATCTTTTGTATATATACATATATATGTATTCATATATATGTGTATATATTTATATATACATATATATATATATCCATCCATTCTCAGGGTTTTTCTCGTTTTAGCAAAAGACTGCAAATCTGTTTATGTACCAGTCTTCTAAAAAAAAAATTATGGAACTTACAAAGTTAATTAAAAAAAAAACACCAAGATTTCACAAATTCAAAGTAGATGAGAAGAAATGGAATATGATTATATATAAGGTTTATGTCATATGCCAAAATTACATATGAGCATACTTGAACAGTTTGTAGATTTGGCTAAAAGTTTCTGTCAGTTAAAATGAAGATATTTACCTTGTCAGTTCATGGTGTCCACGAGATCCCAGATATGGGGCTGGGATGTAGCTCAGTGGCAGAGCGCCTGCGTAGCGAGTATAACGTCCTGGGTTCGATCCCCAGCACCAAAAAAGAAGAAAACAAAAAAATACAGTTAAAAAAAAAAAGAGGGGGCTGGGAAGGTGGCTCAGTAGTAGAGCGCTTGCCTTGCATGCTTGAGGCCCTAGGTTTGACTCCTCAGCACCACATAAGAAAAAAGCCAAAGTGGAGCTATGGCTCAAGTGGCAGAGCGCTAGCCTTGAGCTGAAGAGCTGAGGGACAGCGCCCAGGCCCAGAGTTCAGGCCCCACAACCGGACCAAAAATAAAAAGTAAAAAGAGTACCCTAGATATGAAATTTGCAGCTCGTGGTGATAGCTTTGCTAGCACTTCACTCTGGCCTTCGGCAAAACTTTTGGCCTCTCTGGGGCTTGTCTTTATTGAAAAAAGTTTGAGCTCAGCACCTATAAGCCTAGCTACTCAGGAGACTGAGATCTGAGGATCACAATTTAAAGCCTGCCCAATCCCTGAGTTCAAGCCCCAGTAAGCAGGGTCGGGGTTGACTAGTTAGAACTTGGCAATCTCTGAAGACTAGCACTGTTATTCTCGGTTCTCTGGATCATTGTTAGCTTAGCCTAAGGGTATGTTATGTTCTTTCAGCAGAAAATGAATTTGAACCTGGTCCTTAGCTAAGGATCTGCATGAACTAGCATTTTGCCTAGAACTTGACCCTTCTCTTAATGATGCTTGAAATGTCCTATGTGTCATTTAATGACAAGGGTTTTCGGTTTATGAAGCTCTTTTTTTGGGGGGGGAAAGGGGTCCAGTCATGGGGCCTGACCTCTGGGCCTGGGCGCTGTCCCTCAGCTCTTCAGCTCAAGGCTAGCGCTCTGCCACTTGAGCCACAGCACCACTTCCGGCTTTTTTCTTTTTTCTTATGTGGTGCTGAGGAATCGAACCCAGGGCCTCATGCATGCAAGGCAAGCGCTCTACCACTGAGCCACCTTCCCAGCCCATATGAAGCTCTTTACATATGTGCAATTCAAACACTTAATAGACCTCAGAAGCCAGTCTCTATTATTTTTGTGTGGAATATTCCAATAATGGAAGCATTTCTCAGATCAGAATTTTGCTGTGATATAAAACATTATTTGTATGGTTATTTTGGTGATGGTTATGGCTTGTTTTTGCTTCTTTATTTTTTAAGTGGGTCTTCTTCAAACCAGATTGAAGTTACTTAATCAGACATTTTTACATTTGCAGTTGGGGACCCTGGGAGCAGGCAACCACTATGCAGAAATTCAGGTTGTGGATGAGATTTTCAATGAGTATGCTGCTAAGAAAATGGGCATCGACCATAAGGGGCAGGTGTGTGTGATGATACACAGCGGAAGCAGAGGCTTGGGCCACCAAGTAGCCACAGGTACATTCTACAACTGATTTTTTTCACTTGGTGCTAAAATGTATTTTTTATGGGGAGCCAGCTAGAAGCTTAAGACAGCTCAAACTTTATCCCATGGGTTTTTTATACTCTTCTCCTAACTTGTGATCTAAATAATTTCATTTGGCCTTTGTCAACTGAAATGAGTGTAACCATTATTTTATATGGTGTAGTCATGGAAGGTTAGTGAAATAATGTGTGTTAAGCACCTGAGTGCCTGGTACTTGCTTAGGAAGCATTCAATGAATGTCAGCTCTGTTTACCATTACATTTACTTAGGGGTTACCATTAACTGTCTTGCCAAGAAAACATTGACTGTAACTGATGAAGTAGTCATTCATTCAGGAAGTTTCAGACTCCTGCTCTGCAAGATTAGTGCTGTGGTGGAATCATTGTCTCATGAAGGAGAAGTCATGTTTAGCTACTCAGAAGACTGGGATCTGAGGATCATGGTTTGAAGCCAACTCTGGCCGAAAACTCTGTGAGACTCCGTATCTCCAATTAACCACAGCAAACCAAAAGTGAAGCTGTGGCTCAAGTAGCAAACTACTAGCCTTGAGCAAAAAGTTTACGAACAGAACCCAGGCCTCGAGTTCAAGCCCCACAACTGACAAAAAGGGGGAAAAAAAAGATCATAGAAAGAAAATAAATATGTTTAGGAGAAGGATCTTAGAGGTGGCTTCATGGATACAACATGGAGATGAGCCTTAGAAAAGGTATGCATGGCAGAAAAAAATGCAAACAAAAACAAGAATAAGGGCAAAGGGTCCTTTGGGTGTGTGAAAGATTAGTGGATGTATGAAAAAGAACATAAGCACGTGGGAACTATAAGCATCAGATGTAACGTTACAGTTTGGCCTTGTGTTTATATCTCATCCTGTAAGAGTTAATCATTTGTGTCATTAGGTTGTTTAATCCAGTAGATACATGAAGCATTAACTGGCCTTTCAGAATTTTCTGGAGACCAGGATGGTAATAAGAGTGGTTTTTATTTCCCTTCTCTTTTGTTCCGAGGTTGGGGAGGAAGGCACTCAGATCAAATTGTTGTCATTTGTGTACACATCTGATTCTTTTTTCTTTTCTTTCTATTGTAATTTTGTTATTACCTTTAAGTAGTTAGACAAAGGCGTTTCAAGTCAGCAAGTCAGTTTATGAGGAATGACTCTTGATCGCTGTCACCCCTCCCATCATTCTCCCTCATTTGGGCTTCTTGAGGCACATGTTGGGTTTGTGCCTTACATAGTGTTCTCTTTTTAAGAGAACATTCTGGCAGGTAAGGTAAGTATATCTTGACTGAGCAAATAGATGAACTCAGAGGCACATCAAAGGAAAGTTGTACTTCTCCTTTGTTTTCTCTTTGTAGGATGGATTTGAATGTAGCCTTTCTTCGGTAAATCTGAGAGTGATTGAAGGGAAATCTAACTGGTTCAGACTTGTTGCTCTTTCATTCCAGATGCACTGGTAGCTATGGAAAAGGCCATGAAGAGAGACAAGATCATAGTCAATGACCGCCAACTGGCTTGTGCTCGCATCTCCTCCCCTGAGGGGCAGGACTACCTGAAGGGAATGGCAGCGGCTGGGAACTATGCCTGGGTTAACCGCTCTTCCATGACCTTCTTAACCCGTCAGGTACAGTCATGTTGCTCTCCTCTTCCTAGTTAATCATGAAGTCGGGCATTCAAATAGAGCAGTCAAAATGAAAGCATGTGGGGTTTGGTTTTACAAATTGATATGATGTTCAGAATGCTAAGGCTGGAGGTGTAGCTCAAGTGACAGTGCATTTGCCTACCATTTAACTCAAGGGCAAGGTTTGAGTTCAAACCTCTACCACTCAAAAAAAAACAAAAAAAGGACTGTAGAAGTGTGAGGTTTGCATGTCACCTGAGTCAGCAGAGTATCAGGTAGGCCGGGGAAATGAGCAAAAAGAAACCAAAGTGATTTCTCAGATTTGCTGAGGTTAGGAAGGCTGGAGAAGTGTTTTTTGGGGGAGGGGGTTGAGGGCAGCCAGGCAGCCTCGCAACCAGAGCTGGAGTGGAGGGACAGGAGCTACCGTCTCTCTCCTTTATGTGGAGATTAGTGATACCGCCATTTTCAACTCTAAATTTCCTTATTCCCTTCAGGATCAGACTAGATGAAGCCAGTAAGATAAGTTCTAAAGAGCTGGTTCTGGTAGATTTTTTTTTTTTTTTGGTCAGTCATGGGGCTTAAACTCAAGGACCGAGTCCTGTCCCTGAGCTTTTTTGTTCAAGGCTAATGCTCTTCCACTTTGAGCCCCAGCACCACTTCTGGTTTTCTGGTGGTTAGAGATAAGAATCTAAGGGAGCCGGGCGCTGGTAGCTCACGCCTGTAATCCTAGCTACTCAGAAGGCTGAGATCTGAGGATCGCGGTTCAAAGCCAGCCCGGGCAGGAGAGACCGTGAGACTCCTATCTCCAATAAACCACCAGAAAACCGGAAGTGGCGCTGTAGCTCAAGTGGTAGAGTGCTCGCCTTGAGCTGAAGAGCTGAGGGACAGCGCCCAGGCCTAGAGTTCAAGCCCCATGACCGACAAAAAAAAAAAAAAAAAGAATCTAAGGGACTGGGGCTGGGAAGGTGGCTCAGTGGTAGGGCGCTTGCCTTGCATGCCTGAAGTCCTGGGTTCGATTCCTCAGCACCACATAAGCAAAAAGAAAAAAGCCGGAAGTGGCACTGTGGCTCAAGTGGTAGAGCGCTAGCCTTGAGCTGAAGTGCTGAGGGACAGCGCCCAGGCCCAGAGTTCAGGCCCCATGACCGGACACCCCCCCCCCCCCCCCAAAAAAAAAAAAAAAAAAAAAAGAATCTCAGGGACTTACCTGTTTGCCAAGCTGGCTTTGAACCTTGATCCTCACATCTCAGCCTCCTGAGTAGCTAGAACTACAGGCATGAACCACCAGCACTGGCATATTTTAACTTAAGCTTTTCTCCCAGGCTTTTGCCAAGGTCTTCAACACGACGCCCGATGACTTGGACCTGCACGTGATCTATGACGTTTCTCACAATATTGCCAAAGTGGAGCAGCATGTGGTGGATGGAAAGGAGCGAACACTGTTGGTGCACAGGAAGGGCTCCACCCGTGCTTTCCCTCCTCACCACCCGCTCATTGCTGTTGATTACCAAGTACGTCTCCCTATGTCTGTATTTTAAGTGATGGGGTCATGATTTAAGTCATGCTAAACATGGATGCATTGAAGCAGCACTTGTGTACAGAAAAGATTCCATCACCCAGGAGGGCAGTGCTTCCTCTCCATCATGGTGCTGTCAAAAATGTGCTGCCCTGGGTATAGCTTATTCCACTAACAAAATTAAGGCCTTGGAAATAGTGGAAGGTGGGATAAAGATTAAGTTCGGTCTGTTTTATTGCTCAGAGCCTTTTGGTGTCTGGCTGAGGTAGAGTGGGAAATCTCTTAGCTACTCTCTTCACAAATAAGGAAAACTACAGCCAACAAAGTTATGGCCTTAGTCAAGATAGTTGTTCTAGGAACACTGCCCTCCACTTTCTTGGATTTTTCTTTGCTCTTACATTGCTGCAGTCTGCTCTCCCTGGTCCCCGCATCTCCATTTCATTCCTTTTCCCTACTCTCCCAGTTACCAAAGAATCAAAGTAGTGTCAATGTAGTTTGAAGGATGATGGGTCTTGAGTCCCACAGTTCTACAGTGCAAGAGGAAAACTTTCCTTTCAAGCATGCAAAGCAGTGTTGTTCCTGGTGACATCGTGTGTTGGTTTTGTGTGTCCTCAGCTCACTGGACAGCCGGTACTTATTGGTGGCACCATGGGAACCTGCAGTTATGTTCTTACGGGCACTGAACAGGGCATGACTGAGACCTTTGGGACAACCTGTCATGGAGCGGTAAGGAACACAGGAGCCTCTAAGAAGCCTCTCTCCAGTTTACCTTTGTTCTGTAGGTACATGGACCTGGTTGAGCATGAACAAAGTTAAGTTTTGCATCTGTCTGTCGAGACCACTTCTTGGAAATTATTCCTTATAATATGTGTTGTTTAGTCACTTAGTACCCCCCCCCCCCCCATCTCAGCAAGGTCCTGGGAGGGCTAGGGACTGTTGCACACCTGCAAATCCAGAAAATTCAGACTGGGAAATTATCACAGAATTTGCTGTAACTTATTTATAAATGATAGAGCTTTAACTGATGCAAATCTACATCCCAGCTATCACAGTGCTTCATTAAAACCTGTTCACTTGCTTAATTTGTAAATAAGTTTAGGTACCTGATGATACATTAACTTTAGCTCAGAATGTATAGCGCGAAATTCATTCCTGTATGTTCCCCTTCTAGGGCCGTGCGTTGTCCCGAGCAAAGTCGCGACGTAATTTAGATTTCCAGGATGTCTTAGACAAATTGGCAGATATGGGGATTGCAATCCGTGTCGCTTCACCCAAACTGGTTATGGAAGAGGTGAGTGAAGTTCTGATAAACATTTAGCATAAGCCAAGTCCATATAAACTTCAGTTCTAATATCGTCTGTCTATATAGTTGCTATGTAGTCTATGTTTACGTGTAAGCTTTGTGATCATTTAATCCAAAGATCTTCTCACCTTGCTTTGTATACTTGCATACCTAAGTTTCAGTTGGAAAGCAAATTTGAAAAAGGAGCCAATGTTTAGAGAAAAAGTTCTGTTTAATTCACTAGAGGAAAGGTTTTGTTTAAGTGATCTATACTTATACATGCATGCTTAAATTAGAAGTACATAACTTCCTTTTTAAAAATATACGTGAGGGCTGGGAAGGTGGCTCAGTGACAGAGTGCTTGCCTTGCATGCATGAGTCCCTGGGTTCGATTCCTTACCATATAAACAGAAAAAGCCAGAAGTGGTGCTGTGGCTCAAGTGGTAAGGCGCTAGCCTTGAGCTGAAGAGCTGAGGGACAGTGCCCAGACCCAGAGTTCAGGCCCCACAACCAATCCAAAAAAAAAAGAGAGAGAAAAAAGAAAACTAGTCATCTAGAAACAAAGTACCCTAGAAGTTGTTTTGTTGTCCCTTTTTATATTTAACATGTTATAAAATTGTGTTACTTTTAAGTCATTACTGAATATTCTACCATCTGAGTGCCTTAGTCTGTGTCCATAATGGACATTATATATTTTCCAGGTTTTGCTGCTAAAAATTAATTTGTAATCAGTATCTTCATCCCCGGAGGTCTTTTTCAGGTCTTTTAATAATTAAGAGTATAGTCTTAAAAATAAAATTTCTAAATTAGATTATAACAGAGCCTTCCCCCTACCACCACCCCCCCCCCCCCCCCCCCCGATTGTGGGGCCTGAACTCTGGGCCCAGGCGCTGTTCCTCAGCTCTTCAGCTCAAAGCTAGTGCTCGACCACTTGAGCCACAGGGCCACTTCCAGCTTTTTCTGCCTATGTGGTGCTGAGAAATTGAACCCAGGGCCTCATGCATGCTAGGCAAGCACTCTGCCACTGAGCCACCTTCCCAACCTGAGCCTTCTTTTCTTAATACTTATATATTTTTCCTGTCCTTAGGATAATATATTTTTAATTAAAAAGATATGGAAAATACAAAAAAAAAAAAAAAAGATGCATCTCAGATGCTGCTATCTGGAATTAGCCACTGTTGATGTTTGGTGGTCCACTTATATCACATTTTTTTTTGTTTTGTTATGTTTTTAACATACTCAGCTTATACTTACAGACATGCTATGGGTGCTAAGGATAGTATAATAAACAAAACTAACATAATTACCTTTCTGATGGAACTTAAATGTGTAGGAGACTTATGACCAAATAGGTGCTGTCAGGTACAGTGGACAGTATGTATGGAGTCTTGCAGATCAGCTGCATGGGCATGGATAAGGGCATGTGGGGTGGGAGCAGGGAGATAAGTTTATTAGCAGCAAGAAGGTAGAGCTGGAAAGGAGGGAAGGGTGGGTCTGACTAGAAACTCATAGAAACAAGTTTTGAGTGAATGTGCACATATATCCACATAAAGTTTTAGTTTTATATTTATGAATTTAATATTCAGCCACAGTAAGAGAAAGTCATTAATGCATGCTCATTCCAGAGAATTTTTTTTTACCATTGGAGAAATACATTGAAAAATTAGAGTTGCCAATAATTTTCCTATTCAGAGATAATATCACTAACATAGGTTTGGTGCATTTCCTTCCAGGAAGGTTTTGGTGTGTTTGTTTTATTTAATTTCATTCATCGCTTTTCATAACTGTAAAAGTAATGTTTGTAGTTGCAGTTTTTAGAAGTACAGGATGAAGCTGGGTGCCGTTGGCTCATGCCTGTAATCCTGGCTATGAAGGAGGCTGAGACCTGAGGATCGAGGTTCAAAGCCAGCCCAGGCAGAAAAGGCTGTGAGACCCTTATCTCCAATAAACCACTCAGAAAACCAGAAGTGCCACTGTGACTCAAGTGGTAGAGCGCTAGCCTTTTGCTGAAGAGCTGAGGGACAGTGCCCAGGCCCAGAGTTCAAACCCCATGCCCGGGAAAACAAAAGAAAAGAAAAAAAGAAATATAGGAAAAAAATGTGTAACAGTGTGAGAGTGCTTATCTACTTACTAACACTGAGCTTACTTGGGTTTTTAATTTTTGCTAAGATGATAAACCAGAGAAACCCTCAATATTTCTCCAATATGTATTTCTCACAGTTATAGGTGAAGTTTGAAAGATTCTCTTAAGATAGATTTTTTACAGCATTTCCTCCCTCCCTCCCCCATAGGCTCCTGAGTCCTATAAGAATGTGACAGATGTGGTGAATACCTGCCATGACGCCGGAATCAGCAAGAAGGCCATTAAACTGAGACCCATTGCTGTGATCAAAGGATAGACCAGTGCCCCAGGGCTTCTGGCATCACTAACCTTAGTAAGGTGCAAGTAGACTGAAACACGCTTCAGACTGAGAGCTGACAGGTTCGAGTGTGTAGCTCTGCTGCCATGCCACGGTGGCTGCCACGAGACTGCTGTACCCAGGAGCCACACAGTTCCCCCAGGACAAGAATGGACTGCTTCCTCCACACCACACCTTGTCTTACCTGCCATAGGTGTCAAAAAAACCATACTATTAAAGGCTGTGGCCTTTCTTCCCTCCCTTTGTCACATTGCCGATTTCATCTACTCATCACTGAGCAGAAGACAGGGAGGACACAGCATGAGTGGGGGTGAGGTGTGTTAAGGACGGCATACTGGGAGAGGGATGGGACAGAGAGGAAAGTAATGTCCCTTCACCTTGCGGCCTTTCTCATTCTAATACATGTCACTGAAGCATGGCCTCTGCCAGTGTCTGTCATTAATTCAGCCTGCCTTGGCAATTTTTTCTTTTTCTTTCTTTTTTTGAGTAATACTTTCCACAGGAGCAGCAAAGCACTCTTACTTGAAACCAGGTATCTTTCCATTTCACTTGCATAGTTAGAAGAGCATTAATGATCACTGCTGCAAAAGAAATAGTTCCTCTGTGCCCGTCCTACTTTCCCACTTGTGTACCTTTCTTAGAGGAGACTTTTTAGTCTTGGGCTGCATAGTCAGATATCACATTTGTATAACCTCAAGTCTTTTAAAAGGACCATTGTTATTCAGGCCTTGACTCAGTCCAGACCATCAGTAACATACAAAAATTAAAGCTGCACAATATGTTGTGTATATTTGTACTTAGTATTTCATAGCTTAGGAAAATTGGCATTTGTAATAATTGACTTTGGATAGCACTGCCATTTCCTGATTTCCTCCCAGGTGGCCTCTGGAGACCCACCCTAAAACTTAACCCGGGGCTTACAGTGAATCCTCCATATATCCTGTCGTTCCAGAATGCTGGAGAAAAGTAGACTTCCTCTGAAAATTGTATGAGATGTAATGGTCCTTAATCTGAATACTCAGTAACTTAAATCTTTCTGATGGTAGACTGTTTCAAAGACTGATTAGTAAGTTAGAGCCTTTAGTGTAATCAGTATGGATTACTGGACTGGACTGGAATGGTTACTGTCAAACACATGACTCAAAGGTGTGCTTTACCAGAGAACACCCGAGGGCACTTAGAGATGGGAGCCAGGCTTCTGAACAGGGTGTAGTTTCTCTGAAGATGAGGCAATTTGGGGGTGTCTGTGCAGGCATATTGTAACTGGGCTTGCCCAATGACATGGCATTTGAAACTAATTCAAAGCCAGATCTCCACCCAAAACAAACTGATGTCAAGGCAGTAAGTGCTGTACATCACTTTAAATATGTCAGTTGAGTTTTATTAGATGCTTTGAAAACTTTTCTTGTTAAGTGCAGGAAGGGAAAGAGGGGAGAAAAAGGTTTCTGCAAGGAATTTCTGTTAATAAACCTTGCCTCTGCGTGGCACTCCAGCAAACAGCCTGCTATGGCCATTTAGAGTAATGGCAAATAATTTGAGTTGAAAAAGATGTTTTTCTTATTCTAAAGATCTTTTCCTGTTGAAAAAAATAAAAGCCACCTTAGAAAAATAAATCTTCAAATGACTGAAGAAATCAGAAGTTCTTATTGCCCTGAAGGATGAAAAACCTCATACCTGCTCAGATAAGCAGGGCATGTATATCCTTTGAAGGAGCAGTGTCTGATCCTACCTAGAAGGCTGAGTCTTGCCACATCATACATCTTGGTCCTTTCCTTCAGTTTCTTTTTATCAGCTGAGGCTGAAACTCAGCTTTACAAAGACTAGGCAAGCATTCTAACATTGGCCATGCCTCCAGCTCTGGTCCTTTTTAAAAGGACGCTAGAGTCAGTCAACTTACACAGATAATATTCCCCAAATCATTGCTATTCACACACTGGTAACTTTTTAGTCTTGTTATCAGAATATGTTGGGAAAACATTGGGATGTAAACAGAATCAGCACACTCACTACTTTCCTAATTATGTAACTTTCTTAGAAGGGACTTCTTAATATTTAAATTGATTTTTTTAAAGTTCTCATTTTGATTTTCAGATTCTACGCCTTGGATCCTTTGAAAACTTAAAACATAATGAATTTTTGTTTGGTTAGCTTTGCTAGTCTGCTTATTGCCTTTTTCCCTCGTGTTCACTACAAGGCTTTTTTTTCTATCACCTGTTACTGAAACATCTGCTTTTTTTTGTTGTTTTTGGTACCAATCCTGGGCCTTGAACTCAAGGCCTGGGTGTTGTCCCTGAGCTTTTTAGCTCAAGGCTCTACCACTGAGCCACAGCTCCACTTCGGTCTTTTCTGTAATTAGAGGTAAGAGTCTCACAGACTTTCCTGCCCAAACTCACTTTGAACCACAATCCTCACATCTCAGCCTCCTCAGTAGCTAAGATTATAGGTGTGAGCCACAGGGGCCTGGTAAAATTCACATTTATACTCATCCTACTGCACAAGTTCCATGGCTTATGCTCTTATATCTTACTTGGCTCCTATTTTTGTGTCCATTCCATCGCTTGACTGAAGGGAATTTCATGTCTAGAGATCAAGAAAGACCAGACCATGTAGACTAGTTCAGGTTGAAGACTCCTCATTTTCAGCTAGGATGTCAAGTCTTCTTAAGAAATTCTGTTGAAGAATTGCTCTGATATTAGTATCTGGAACACTACTAATCCAAGAAGCTGATGTGATGGGGGAGGAGCCCTTGCAGAGGAATGAGTCGTGGTTTCAGTTGTAAATGAAAGACAACCATACTACAGATGAGTAATGGTAAAACTCACAGTTTTTATATATGTTTTTGGTTGCTCATAGGAGCCCTTCACTGGAATTTAATGAGGTTGGGAAGGTAGGTGTGAGCCCCTTATGGATTAAAAGAAGGCCCAGAAGGGTCTAGCAGCTTGCCCTAGGCACCCCACTGATGGCAGAGTGTGGCATTCTGACTCCCACACTGTTTTCCTTATGTCCCATTTAACCATTTGTACTGTTTTCCTTCAGTATAAGAACCAGCCAGTTTCAGTCTGAAGCTAAGTTTTAATTATTGTGGAGTACTCATAAAAATAATCATTTACATGGGATTAATCCTCTTGGTTGGTCTTAATTGAGGCAGGTCAGACATTCTGTCCGCCAGAAAGCATTCTGTGATGAAGAGTGGGGATTTTATTCTGCTTGATGAGTGTCTCTTTTATAGACCACACGCCTTCTTTTATAGTTCACAAACTAAACTCCAGGTGGCTTCAAAACAGGACTTCGCAGAGACTCCCAGCACTTCGGCCATCCACCCCTCTCCGTGCTAGACTAAGATCTTTCTGGAGTGTGCCTTACATCTACTGCTTCAAGTTTCTTACCAGAGTAGAGGGAAAGGTATAGTGAGTCACCAAAACACTTGCCCAACTTACAGCAGCAAGCAGACTTCTGCTTCACTGTCTTAGTAATTGGCAAATATACTTTCTGTGGATCCTTTGTCTACTGACAGTGCATACTCTGCTGGGGATTGAGGTTCATGGTTGTCACACTGACTTTGAGAATTTATAACAGTTTAGGTGGGAATATGAACAAATGGAATCGTGAAACAAGCCAGCAGTTGAAGTGGTGATTGACAAACAGGAAAAATAAATTCTACAGGGGATGGGACTGGATATGGTTCATCTGAACACAGCCACCCTACTTGAGAAAGATTTCTGCAGAGTTGACTTCAGTTCCTACTTATTCCATCCTTAAATGCCCGGAATCAGGATGCTCCTGGACTTCACAGATGGGAAAAGGAGGCAGTTCTTTGTGCTTCAGTCAGTTTTGAGTTTTCTTACAACCAGAGTTTCCTAGCTGACATGACATGATTTAAAGAAAAAAATTAAGCATGGAAAGAAGTTAATAGTGAACCAACAGTATTGCATCTGGGCTGCTGAAAGGATAATTCCCCCTCAAATGTGGGGAGGTGCTGAGGGAATTGATTCTCCATGAATGTGGATGGTGTAGTAGTTGAACATATTCAGCTTCAGGTGCTTCAGACATCTTGGCTGCACAGATGCATCGTGGGAGCTCTGAAGAGGGGTTCTGCTGGAGGACAGAATAGCAGAGGCTGAGCAGAGAGTGAGCTTTACGGGACTGCTGATTATGGAATGAGGACACCATAGCAAACAGCCATTTGTCCATCAGTGGCTCTCAGTCATGTAGAAACCCTGAGCAAGGCTCTGTACTGAATGCTGGTGCTAGTGATGGTGCCAGCCCTCCCAAGTTCAGTATGGCGGGACCCAGAAGCAACAGATAATTAAACCGTTATGTGACTGTGAACCCAGAAATGAGAGCAAGTTATCTCAGAAGCCTCACTTAGTGTTGCAGAGAAACCAAGACCAAAGAAAGAGCCGCTGGATTTATGATAAGCAAATCAACATTTTCAGCAGTGAATTGAGGTAATGATTTTAATTAATTTTTTAAAAATCACTGGCTAGAATTACATAGTGTTTATGTCTCAGGCAGTGACCTAAGCCTTGTGCACAGTCACTTTATCCTCAGAATGAGTCTGTGACATGGGTTCCACCCGTATGTGCACTATTTTCAGTATCCTACCAAACTCTGGAGAAAGATCTTCAATGCAGACATGTGGCTCGAGTATGTATACCCTTACTGAAGATTTTATGTCAGACCAATGGGGGAAAACAATCTCATTTTACAACACAGGATCAACTAACGAATATTGTTAACATATTTGTAGTTCTTTGCTAAATTATTCTTTTTTTCTTTTTTGGTCGGTCGTGGGGCTTGAACTCTGAGCCTGGGAGCTGTCCCTGCGCTCTTCAGTTCAAGGCGAGCACTCTACCTGTTGAGCCACAGCGCCACTTCTGGTTTCCTAGTGGTTTATTGGAGATCAGAGTCTCACAGACGTTTCTGCCCGGGCTGGCTTTGACCCATGATCCTCAGATCTCAGCCTCCTGAGTAGCTAGGATTACAGGTGTGAGCCACCGGCGCCCAGCTTTGCTAAATTCTTTAATGATAAGATTTAGCAAAATAAAAAACCCTGACAGCTGAACATGGAAAGAGATTCTATGGGTTGGTTGGTAGCCTCCTTGGCGTTGGACACAGAAACGGGCCATTGGTTGTAGCCAGTGCTCTCAGAAATCTGTGTCCTGAGAGGTTTTGCTTAGCCTCTCTGTGTCTATAGCCCTACTTAGTAAGACAACTTCTCCTAGGGGCTCAAAACCCAT